TTGATCTGCTTTTCTCTGGTTTGAACAAATTATTTTGCAACTAGCATATATTCAAATTCCCACCCATCCTGAAACACAGACTTTGGATCTAGTAAATTGGACGTGCACTAAATAAGACAAAGCACATCCCAACACATATATTTTAAAAGTCTTAGAGTCATTGCTAGCTACTTATAGAGCAATGTGGTACTTTAAATTAATGTCAGAATTTATATGGATTGTGTGGAAATCCTTTAGATACACGAGGATAGGATCTAAAAATTGACAGGCATGTGCTAAATCTGCCCCAGCAACATCCTACCCTCAAGACAGTCTTATGTATCTCCTCCACCGCTTTCACTCAGCCTCAGGTACAACAGGCAAATGACTTTTTATCCCATGGTGCACATACCCATTTTTGGAACACATAGGGCTGCACCATCTCCAGCTCACTTCTCCCAGTTTTCTTACAAGAATGTGGATTTAAAAAAACCTTTACAATCTCCCTAAACGGGACCAAGGAAAGTTGAGCACCTTCTCTAAATTTTGAAAGCTTACTGGAAGATGGCGTGGGTTGCTGGGGGGAGGCATAATTGGCTCCATGCAGGCCATCTGTGGCCCACCCCTGCTTTAACTCCAAGGATTGTGCTGTATATAGGCAGACGTCTCCCTGTTCCTGTTTTGTTTTTTTAATGAGTCTTAGTGGTTCATTCCTAGGTCCAAGCCAAAACACAAGGGAAATGAGAGGTGCTTGAAGAAGGGCCCTGGGAGGTTTCGGTCTCTGTAAACACTGTGGGCTTGAGTTAAGTAACTCATTTTATAAATCCCAGTTGGTGACAGTTGACAAGAGAGCCCTTGTTAAAAAAATGTCATTACAGATAATGGAAGTTAGGAATAGCTATTAGGGCAGATATGGGAGGGATTTGCCATTAGCAATACAGCTAACTCCAGAACCAGTGAGGGCATTCTGTTGATAAGGGTGGTAGTAACTACTAACAGCTCCACCACCTGTGATTTGCCTGACCCCACTTTAGAACTGTACATGTTGACAATCCCCACTACACCTTGAGGGAACAACTTCTGCTCTTTGAATATGTGCTGTGTGAAGTAGCGCTTCTCTTTCTCTGTTTTGAGTCTCCCACTCGTCAGCTTAATTGGATGACCCCAGATCTAATATTTGGAGACGCAAAGAGAAGTTCTCCATATTTATTTTCTCTTCATCCTGTGTCATTTTATATTCTCCTATTGTGTCCCCATCGCTCATCTTTTTACATCACAAGTTTGTAACCAGGTGAGGCAAAGGGGAGGTTTACAGTAACCTAAGGCAGCTTCAGCTGCACTGCCGCCACCTGAACCAGAGGCAAAGGGACACCAAGCCAGAAGACTAGTATCCCTTTTGTGGGGAATGCTAATGGAAAGTTAACAGCTGTGTGGAATTCTATGGAAGAAAATTAGAGGAGACAGACAGAGGGGATGCTTTCTTAGAAAGGATCAATGCTGCCATCTGGGGCCTTCTCTGAGCACTTCTGTAACACAGTGACTGCACAATAGTTTCATCAAGCTGCAGGACCTACGGAAGGGCTGGAGAAACTGTGACCCACTGGGTGTTGTAGGTTTCCACCTAGGGGAGTTGTAGTTCAACAGCATCTTGAAGGCCACACGTTCATCAGCCCTGATCGAAGCCCTATCTGCAATTCTCCCCTCATCACGTAGATATAACTTTACAATATTCAACTGGACACATGAAAGTCCAAATGAAGTCTTACAACAATATCTGTACAAAGACTAAAAATAGAAGCCCGCCTTTACAGAAGGGCAGGAAACACTGAGGGTGGTTTTGTGGCGATTCTGGTCCTATCTCACAAACTGCCTCTGACTTTGCTGGCATAGCCAAGCACAATTATCCAGGAAAGCACTCCAAACTTTGAGCTTGTCTGTTACGTTAAATTAAAATTTCAATGAAGTCTCTGAGCCAGAGCATCTAGATGCTTGCAGTGTGGCATCACCCCTGTGGAGACAGCAATGATGAATGCCAGTGGCTGGGATTGCTTTCCTCTCCTAGCACGTCAACAAGATCTACCATATATCATATTTGCCTCAATAGCCTCTTGGCTCGACTACTACATTATTCTCTGAGTGGAACTGCCCTCCAAGACTATTTAGAAAACGGAGGCAGCTAAAATGAGAGTCTGCATGAACCTTTTACTGTTGAAATGCAGCAGGGCCCTGCCAGTCACCTGTCTTCCTCTGTCCAGCATCAATGTAGGGACAAAGCTTGTAAATTGCAATATTTCTTCTGATTATTGTACCGGTTTGTTAATATTTCCAGGATGTAGCCATGTTAATCTTTGCAGCAAAAGCAATGCAGAGTTTCAGAACATATTAAAGACAGACACATTTTATTTGGTAGGTACTACTACCTCCTTTGTGAGATGCACAGAGCGCTGCCTCAGTCAGCAAATATTTATTCATCTATTGGTGTGTGTGTGTGTGGGGAAAGGATTATGATCACTGGGGTCAGGCAGATGTGAAACTGTACAAAGAGTGGCTATTACAGGGACAGAGCACTGTTAAAGCCATTATTACTGTACGTACTTTTTTCTTTTCAATCCCTCTGACCTTAAGGATTACCATTTTCTATTTACTTCTTCACTCACCTGCCTAGCCTTTTGTGTGTATGTGTGTCTGTGTATAATTGTGTGCCAACACCCCCTGTAATCTAAAAAAGCTCACACCAAATAAAGTGTGTGAATCTTTTAGGTGCCACAAGACATTATATTTTGTGATGTTATTGTCTTACTATGGTAAACAAAGAGCCTTTTAAACCCTAAATGAGCAAGGAATGAGTGCACTGGCATCAAGATGAGCTAACCAACATGTTGCTGTCTCTATCATTCCTAATTATAATCTCATCTGTTTTTAAAACAAAATGTTTGCAGTCAAAGCTGTGTAGCCCTATTTTGTCTGTGGTTCTAGGAAAATCAGTTTTTATGGAGCTCTCTGACACATTAGTGCAGTGGTTCTTAATGTGGGCGATAATGCCCCCCAGGGGGCGATTTCATTTTTCAGGGGGGCGGTGGAATTCTGTTTTTAAAACAAAATGTTTGCAGTCAAAGCTGTGTAGCCCTATCTTGTCTGTGGTTCTAGGAAAATCGGTTTTTATGGAGCTCTCTGACACATTAGTTTACATAGAATCGCAATCCTAAGGGCATTGGATTTAAGTGTCTTAAATAAATAAACAAACAAATAAACAAACAAATAAATAAATCATCACTGCGGGGAGGGGGGCAATGGTAACTTCCTCAATGTCTCAAGGGGGCGTTTCTTTCAAAAAGGTTAAGAACCACTGCATTAGTGTACATAGAATCGCAATCCTAAAACACACTTTTTCCTGAACAAAGCACATATGCAAGGTTTTCCGCTCCTAATGATCTGCTGGATCCTCTGTATATTATAGATTAAGGTTTGAAAATCCTGCTAAAATCCTGCTCATGGATATTCTACAACATATGTCAATCATTACTTACATAGATGCACAATGGTCTTGTTTTTTTAACCTCTGTACAGTTAGAATATTTAAGCACTTAAAAATAAAATTGGGAAAGCAGCGATTATAACCTCTAATGTGTTTTACAATGCCTGCCTAATCCGCGAGTCCGTTTCTGTCCTGATGCGATTCCATGGAGCAGGTGCATCTCCTCCCCCATCACTATAGGATGCAAAATGCCAGCTGTTGAGTTGTGGTTGCCTATGCCAGTTGGAACCATAGCTTGAGGGGGGGTTGGCCCCGTTAGCTCGCCCATTCATCATCGCTGTAAATCTGTTACACACTATTATTAAATATAGGGGGGATGACAGAAGCTGGAGCCAAAGTTCTACAGAGCCGACTGTAGAGAGGCGGCTGATAAAAAGGCACCACAGCAGTTAGCACAGCAACCTCCAGGTGGCGCCAACGCACGAACCGAGCCGACCACCCACACCATAGAGGAGAAGGAGCCTAGCAAAGGGAAAGGCTCCGACTTATTTCCTGTCCAGAGACGGAAACTCTCCGTCGTGCTGCGAGTTAGACGTTCACCTTCCGGTTTTCGTCCTTGAGGCGGAAGTGAGAGCTGGGCAGGCTAGCGTTACGAGTGAAAACCTTTCAGGTTTCTTGGAGCCCATTAGAAAAAGAGGGCCAGTCCCAGCCAAACAGACTGAATGGGCTCAAAGGACTTCACAGGTTTCGCTTCCAAGCGAAAACTCTGATGAAACAAGAAAAGATCAAGCTTTCGACAAGAAAAACGCGTCCTGCCATCTTGTCGTAAGCTCGATCTTTTCTTGTTCCATTAAAGTTTTCACTTGGAAGCGAAACCTGTGAAGTCCTTTGAGCCAATTCAGTCTGTTTGACTGGGACCGGTCACATTTTTCCAGAATTACAAGGGTTTGAAGGGTGCCTGGAGAGGGTCGCCTCTTCCCCGCCCATAAACACCCGAAAACGGCGGGAACGGGAAGCTGCGCCCTTTCCTGAAAATGGGCTTCCCAACCCTTGTGATTCGTCCATTTCGAGCGAGAGGCACAAGCCCACGCGTGGCCTCCGGCCTGCCACTGGGGGGCGGAACTTGGGCAGGGAGTGGTGAGGCTGCAAGGAGAGGGACGGGGGCTGCCGCAGGAGGGGCGATTGGGAAAGGAGATGCTTAGGTGGAAATCCGGCTCAGATTCAAGGTACTCCCTGACATGCCTCACGAGAGGTGGGCTATTTTGCAACGGCCTCCCGGGGTTTCCACAGCGAGGTAATAGCATTGCACTATAATGCAAGTAGCTCTTCCTCAGGTGGACCCGAAGTGGAAGAGGTGAAACTCCATTTTCAGACTCTGCACGAGTCTCTCAACCATGCCCTCCGCTGCATCATGCATCGGCCTCTTTAAAAATAAATAAATAAACGGTAATTTAAAATGGCACCTTTCATCAATGAATAAATAAATAAATAAATAAAAGGTAAATTAAAATGGCATATTTCATTGGAAAGGAGACCATCGCCTCACTTTTTAGTGCCACCTGTCGTTGCTGGAGGAACATATTGCTGCTCAGTCACACTCCCCTCAAAATCCTAGGTTTCCATATTGATTTCTGTCGGCAGGTCTCTGCCCTCCTGGACAGATTTAACATGGTTCATCCAGCGTGGACCCGGAAGTTCCCTCTCCACACAATGAGTGCGCTAGTCTATTTTTTTCTTATATTTGTTTTCCCCAACCGGACGGTCGACTCTACGTGTCAGAATGTGCTGTGCCCGAAGCGGGGGGACGATTATAGGCAGGGGCGGATGGCGTCATCATCCCGCGCCTCGCCCTCTGGCTGGCGCTGTGTCCCTGCTGTGTCCAGGGCTTTACCGGTGGCAGGATGGGGTTTTTGGCGGCTCCGCTCCTGAGGCGGCCGCTTCGCAGGTAGATCGCGGGGAGGAGGCTGGCGAAGTGGAGCGGCGTCCGGGAGAGGCCTTGCATGTGGCTCGCTCTCTGTGTTATCCGCAGGATGCCGCCCCTTGAACCCAGGGTTATCCGATGTGCCCCCCCGGGACCTGGGAGGGAGTCTAATTAGAGCGGCTGCGTCAACAGTGCTAATTAGTTCTCAGCCCCCGTCCCCAAACAGGCTCAGTTGCTCTCCAGCTATACGACAACTCAGCCTTTGGGATCATCAAAAGTGATAACTAAAGTGGGGCTAAGTTGCAGCGTCACGGATTGGTGAACCATTGGCTTTCCAGATGGTTTGAATCACAGCTCCCGCCCTTGCTTACTCCTGGTTGCATTGAGCAGGACTGACAACAGCTGAAGCCCCTCATGATGTAACCACTTCTGTCCTACTAATCAGGCGTTGTGCTTGTACTTGGTGCTAAGAGTTTGGGCAACCATTTGTAGCTGACAGAGAGGGGAATGGTAGGAAGCAGGATGTATTTGATGCCCCTGTTCTGATTTTTGAGAGTCATGATTAAGTAAACACAGCTCAAGACTGACCCCAAGATCTATGCTTGGCTTTTGTATATTAATAGTACAGGGAAAGAAGAAACAAGTACTTGATGAGTTCATGGCTCTTTTGATGAAAGAAGCTGATTGCATAAAACGTTAAGGTGATCCAAATCAAGTTATATAATTGCTAATTTTCCAAGTGTTGAAGAAAGGTCAAACATAGAGACAAAGCAGATAGACAGTTCTTGCTGTCCTACTGTCTGCTGTGCTTCCCACTCAGCTGAAAAGTTTTTGAAATTTTATAGTGATGTTAGTACATTTGCATTCATATGGGTAAAAACTAGCCTATGGGTAGAGAACTGTATTCTAGAGATAATGCCTGTTTTGCAGAAAGTTGGTCAAGTTTTTTTTTTGTCTAAAAGTTATACATCAATTTTATTTAGGTCTCTTTTTAAAAGTTGCATCTTCTAGTATATGAAATTACTCATTAATTAGCTGTGCATGGTATCATTGAAAGACAATAACAGAGTACAACAACGATGTAGCTTGAAAATTGTACCTGGTTTCTTGAAATAACAGTGCTCTCTAAAAATATCTATTTAAATATAAAATGAAGTGTGTGGCTCCTGTGGAGTGGAAAAAGTATTCTGCTCTTCTATTTTGATGGTTAATGACTACGTCTAACGTAACCTGAATCTGAAATGCATCTGTGCACTTATAGCCTGTAGGTAGCAAAGCCCCATATCATACATTCTTGGGGGGTGTCCCGTGTTTTGGGTGTTATTGTGGGATACCTAAAGAAATGGCTGCTAAGGATTGGAAAATTAGCACACACAAAAACAGGTAACCTTCTCTAATCATGTCCAATGTTTCTGAAAAAGTAAGTACAGTAATTATCTGGGGGAAGATAAACAGATGCCCTCTGTATGTTTTGGACCACCAGCTCCCATAATCCCTAGCCACTGGCCTTGCTTGCACCAGGTTGTGTACCTGTAATTGAGATGCAAACGTATAAATTATTGAGGAAGAGAATGTGGGATGAGAGATGTACACATCAAGAGAGAAGTTTATCAACATTTATATAGATGGCTTGCTTGTAGTATTTACATTGGCTGTACAGAGGCATGTCTGACTTTGATTTGTCTCTCTTTTCCCTTCCCCAGGCTGAAGCCATTCAACAGGTTGCAGATCATACTTCAACACTTAGTGAGTTTGGACATCTCTTTCATATCATACTGGCCAATATGGGTTTGAAATATAGTCAGGTTAGAAAGAGCTGTGCCGTCCAAATTCCAAGCGAGCGTTGGGATTCAGTTTCCCTTGCAGCCTCTGTGGCAGCTGCTTTGGAAACAGAAGGGAGTTTCAAAAGGAATTTAAGATCCAGTTTATTTACTAATTTGTTTGTAAATTTATATCCCGCACCATCTGTCAACCAGGACATTCTGGGCGGCTAACAACGGTATCAGAAATCAACCAGGACACTCTGGGCGGCTAACAACAGTATCAGAAACAAAACATGATAAAAAATGTGCTTTGCTGTTCAAATAATAGGGGGGAGGAGAATCCCTACAGATGAGCATAAGCTCCTAGATGAGAGCATAAAATTAGGATGAGTCATGTGTGGCCTTTCAGATTTTGTTGAACTATGGCTACCATCATTCTTCACCATAGGCTGTGTTAGTTTAGGATGATGGGAGGTGAGGTTCAACATCTGCAGGCAACATATCCCCCCCAATGCTTGAATATAGGTGGGGAAAGACAATATAGTGTTTGTAAAAGTGAGTCACTCTCGAGGCAGCGAGGACTACAGAGCATAAAGTTCATATGGAGAAACTGACCTCTGTGGTTTTTCTCTGTGGCTTAATAATTCCTGCTACATTTTGGGCATTCCAGAATTCTGCAATATTTCAAAATAGGGAGAATAGCGTGATGTTAGGATAAGGTATTACGAATGTCCCCAGCCTCTGAGGGATAAATTGTTAAGCCAAAGGCACTGTGGACAAAAAAACTTGGAGTGAAGTAGTGAAAGGGTGCACTAGCAGGAACTGTAACTAGCAGCATTTTGCCTTGACATTGGTGTGGAGCTGGTTTGAATTTTTGGTGCTGTGTTTGCTGGTAGAGGTGTGTACTATTCCTTTTGAAAGCAGTTGTGGTTAAAATACTACTTTAAAGTAGTAATCAACATGCATGACTTTAAAGACATTCTTGGCATGTGATCTGTAGAGTCATGAGTAGAGATGGGATGCTTCATCTTGCTTTGTGGGTTGTCAAAGTTGAATTCCCCCCCCCCGCCTGCCCTGAGGAACTATGAATCAATCCGTCATTTTTTGGTTTTTTTTTTTTTTTTTTCTTTCCCTCAAGAGGAGGGAAAGCAGGGATCAAAGCGATCCTGCAGCACTTTCATCCCTGCTTTCCCCCCTCCACTTGCTAAGCTCAGCAGGGCTTAGCAAAAGGAGGGGGAAAGCAGAGATCAAAGCGATCCTGCAGTGCTTTTGCTCCCTTTTCCCCTCCTTTTGCTAAGCCCCCCGGGGCTTAGTAAGAAGGGGGAAAGCGGGGATCAAAGTGATCCTGCATAGCTGAGGGATCCCTTTGATCCCTTCTCTCCTCTTTTACACTGTGCAGGCATAGGAAGAGGAGGAAAGGGGAAACCAAACCATCCCCCAGTCCCGAGGTGGGATTCCCTTCGGGCAGGGTTTAGCAAGCCGCCTGAAGGGAAAATCCCTCTCTGCTTATGCCCCTGAGGAGCAGCTGATCCACAGAGGCATAAGCAGATAGGGAATGAATGGACAAATATAAAAGGGTTATATTTGTTGCTTTGTATTCATTAGGGTCTCTGGACCCCAAGAATATGAAGAAACTAATATCTGATGAATCAGGGATATTTAACGAATATCCTGATTCGTTTTTATATTTGTCCTCATGTCTAGTCATGAGCCAACTTGTGATTAGCAACGTTGTTAGAAAGCTTGATTCTGCTTGTTGTTGCATACAGAATATGTCCAAGACAGTGGATTCTTCACCAGAGGTTCTGTTGGAAAAAAAAGGATGTGCTGGAGTTATAACTCTGAACAGACCCAAGACTCTGAATGCATGTACTCTTTCTATGATTCGACTGATATATCCACAACTAAAGGTTAGTGGTTATATATTAAACCACTGCTGTATGCGAAGGTTATAATTTTGTGGGCTTTTTGGCCACCTAATTGTTGGTAGCTGAATTTGTGAACTGTCTCTGCTGAGAAGAGGTAGGTATGAGATGGTATGGAAGAGTTTTATGGCCTTTGACCCTCCAGATCTTGCTAAACGATGGCTCCCATCACTCCTCCCCATTGTTGATCATTACTTGCTCACTCCATAGTCAAACCATGACTTCAATAAGTAAATAAGTCATGGTTTGACTCTGGAGTGAGCAAGTAATCATCACAACCATGTGAACCTGACTAAAACTGCCTGCAGCAGTTTGACTCTGGAGTGAGCAAGTAATGATCATAACCATGTGAACCTGACTGAAAAAATGCCTGCAGCAACATTTCTGCCACTCTCTATTCAGACCCTTCTTTCCATATGGAAGAAGGGAGTATTCCATGTTTCCTTTTGTGAGGCAGGACACACTGTTGCTTCTCTGTACGGATGCTGCGTTAAGGGAATTGGCTTTGTGTAACTGAGACCTTCCACTTAAAAAAGAGAATTTTTCCTGGGGAAGGCAGTGTAACCATCATGGTAACTGGAGTATCTAAGCGAGTTGGTTGAACCATGGCACGGGAGGGGGTGGGTTCACAGCTGCTTTCATGGGATCCTAAAGGATAACTCCTTTGGATTTTTTTGACTATTACCTGATTCAGCCCTCTGTTAATAGGCAGAACTGCCCCACTTGTATCTTCTGGGTTTCAGCTGATAGCTGGAGGAGCACTGAAAGGGCTTAGCGACAAGTGCCGTGTCCTGTTCTCTGCTGGTCGTCAAGCCCAACAGACAGCAAAGGTGCTGCAGGCACAAGAATGGAGTCCCACACTCTCTTCCCCTTGCTTACGCATCCCCTGTAGGGCCAGGGAGAGCAACACGTTGGCCTGTGGGCAATGTGCAGCCCCCGGGGGCACTTTCGTGCCCCCTCCCCATTTAAAAAAGGTTGGGAAGTTTTGCTCAGAGAGTCCCTGGTACCCTCTGGGGGCATGGGGTAATTGTGCCATGTTTTGATGCTGCACTCCAACACCTTTCTGCCCTCCCCCCCCAGTATCATCCAACATGTAAAAATTGGTCACTAGAGGGCATGAGAAGGAATTTTCACTGGGGTTTGGAATCCATTTCAAGAATGGCCACTGGTCCTGCTAAGACTGTTGTATGAAATCCGCTTTCCACCTGGTTTTACAGCAATTTGCTGCCCTTTCTTTGAAAGCATGAATGTGAGGAGGACGGCTTTGCCGTCTTTGACAGGCCAGCCACATTGTCTTCACGCTCCCTGGAGGGCTGCGCAGAGACCTGGGTGCCACCCTATTTCCACCTCTCTTTTGGTGCTGCGGCAACCGTGAGCCAGAGCACCTGCGAGGAGTTGGGGCAGGAGGAAGCCACAAGAAGCATGGCATGGGTTGTACAGAATCAGCACTAAGAGGAATGGAGGAGGCGCAGGAAGAACTGCCCCCAGGCACTGTAGGGGAAACCCAGCCTTTTTGGCTACAAGACCCCTGGATGAGGGAGGGGTTGATTTTGCCCAAGGCCTTCATACCCATCTTCCCACCTGAGCCACCACTGCAGGGATGATGCCAGCCCGGAGAGCTTCTCCTGACAAGATGGATGCCCACACAGAGATGATGCTGGGAATGCCATTGACAAAACCTGCGCCTGGCACAGCTGGCTCAGGATTTAGTGGAACTGCCCCACCCAGAAGACCCACCACCATCCGGGACTAGACGCCTTCTTTGAAGGGCGTTGGAGTGCTGAGGCGAGTGACTTTGACTCAGCCCCGGAGGTCATCAGTGAACAGACAGGGCCAGTGAACACAACTCAGCAATAATGAGGAGCTAATGAGGGAACTGAGCCCCCCCCCCTCAAGGATGGGTGGACTGTGTGAAGAGGTATTAGAGATGGGAAGTATAACTGGGACTGGGACAAATCAGAGCTCCATTTTCACAGACTGGGCTCCTTCTCTTGTCACAATAGAAGGGTCAAAGCATCCTGTGTCAGCCGTGTCTACGGAGTCTATGCTGGAGAGACTGTTACAGATGATCTTCCCTACTGGAAGGAGTGTCAAGGTGTGCTGTGGGATGGTGGCCATCATATTTCGTTCCATCTTCCACTTTCTGAATTATACACAAAATGGCTGATTTGTTTCTTTTTCTTCAGTTCTTCTGCATGCTTACGTGAAGGAGTCTTTATAACAAGTAAGACTCATCAATAAGATCTTTTATAATCAATATACAGCTTTATTTGTGTCACGTAGCCAACATGAGGTTCATCTTTAGCATGGTCCTGTTAACAGGCCTTTTCTAAATCAGGAAAGTGGATGTGACTGGAAGCAAATATAACTGCCTTCTCAACAGGCACACTGATAAGGTTTACTTTGCATAGAGCCTCTTCCTGAAGCAAAAGTTAATTTTTTTAATTAAAATAAATCCCTTACTTTGTGCTTCCAGAGAGAAAAATCTGCCCTCACGATTTCAGTTCCATTTTATGCATGGGTGAAGAGAGAGATTCTGCTTCTGGACAACTAACCAGTGACTTGCTAAGAAGCTAGTGATGGGGAACATGTGGCTCTCCAGATGTTACAGTACAACTCCTATGGTCACTCAGCATTAGCTGTGCTGACTGGGGCTAATGGGAGGTGCAGTGTAACAGTATCTGGCAGGCCACACATTCTTTACTCCTGCATAAAAGCTGTGGACACTTTGCCTAACGACAAGCTTCACTGAACCCAATGGGGCTTAATTCTGCCTAGACAAGCACAGATTTACTCTGCAAAGGGTTGTTGCCCTCTGACGTTCCATTCTTCCAGGATGGTCCACCCGTGATCTGGGTCATGTTCCATCATGTATTCTCTAATTTGAAAGAAAAGGGGCTGCGCGCATCAGCTACTCGTTTTCTGATACAAGTTTTTTGCTTGCTTTGTTTAGAAGTGGGAGCAGGATCCCGACACTTTCCTAATAATCATAAAGGGCGCTGGAGACAAAGCTTTCTGTGCAGGGGGTGATATCAGAGGTAAGGCTTGGTGTCTATCAGCCCCATAACCTGCAACCCTCCCCTTTCATCAGGATCCCCAGTCCTTGGGAGAGAGATTTTGGGATGCATGTTCCAGCGGTGGGCGTGGGGAGGAGCCCGCTTTGGGCTACTTCCTTTCATGGGCTTTGCTCTCGCTCGAACCCCTTGCATTTTCTTAGGGTTTTAAAAAGTTATTATTGAAATGTGTGTGTAAGAGGGTGCTATCAACGTGTGGTTTTTGTTTGTTTGTTTTACATTTCTAAAACATTTCACATTTCTCCTTCCCCCAAATGCATCTGATAAAGTCTGCTGCAGTTAATGAAAACTCATGCCTAATAAGATTTGTTAGACTTTAAGATTCCCAAGACTCTTTGCTCTTTCCGTTTTTTAATATTCTGATATGCTCTTCTGAATCGGCAAACCAGGAGCTGCTTACTCAGCTTCATCCTCATAGTAAATCCATGAGGTAGATCAAGCTGAGAGTGTGTTACTGGGCCGAGGTCGCCCAAGTGAGCTTTAAGGCTGAATAGCAGTCTCAAATGAGAACTCCCACTTCTCCGCACTCAAATCACACTGGCTGTCGTCGCTTCTTCCTTGGTCAATTTAATTTAATTTTTACAAGTGACAACTTGGGAACAAAGGGCAGCACTAGTGCAAAATGGAGGTTTAGTTTGCTAGACTGGTGATGATGTTTATTAGAATTTGTTATTCTGGGGTACTTAAGTTTGGCCCCCCCTTTTTTTTGGTAGCTGTGACTGAAGCAGGAAGAAGTGGAAACAGATTGACTGAAGATTTCTTCAGAGAAGAATACATCTTGAACAATGCCATTGGTGCGTATGCCAGTAATTTAAAGTACAATCTACAGTAGGCATGCTCAAAGAGTGTGGGAGAGGCATGGGTTCAGATTTTTATAATATTAAGTATGCATTGGTATCAGCTCAGCTTAATGTTTCATACAGATAAGAATTGAAGTCTGAAACGGTTTATAGAAGAGAAGAACAGAAATTCTAGCCCATTCATTTTGTTTCCATAGCAATGAGAAATTTATTTTAAAATTTCAGGTATTTATGAAGTGTTTCCCATCTGTTGTAAAAGACATTAAAGAATGTCTTTGCCTTGATAGGAGAAGCCATTCGGTGAATAAAGCTACTTAGTTTATTTCAGAGAGCACTGGCAAATTTTGTAAAATGCAGATCAGCAATTTTGATGTTAGGGCTAGTTCACATATTTGCTGAAATCTGTTTGCTTAATCTAGTAAATTGCATTAGAGTAGGCCCATTGAATCAGTGGGGGTGCCACAGCTCCTCCATAGATTCAGTGGATTCAAATGGGTCTACTCAACTATGATTTAAAATGCTAAGCAACAGGATTTTAGCCACTGTGTTTTAGATGCACCTTTATTTGTGAATGTAAGGTATGAAGGCTCCAAATACAGTGGTGTCTCAACTTACGAACTTAATTGGTTCTGAAACTCCAGTCATAACTCAAAATGGTCATAAGTAGAAGCACCATTTCTTATAGGAATGCATTGAAATGCAATTAAACCATTCTGGCTGAAGAAAAAAATCACCAAAAAACCCACAAAACACTGCAAGACCTATCAGAAACATGACTAATCCATTCTGGTTGGAGGGGGGGAGAGAAAAGTGAGCAAAGCATGCAAGACCCATCGGAAATGCAAAAAAAAGCAGAGCAGAAAGCAAGCGAAGCATGCAAGACCCATCAAAATGCAAATCAGAAATGCAAAAAAAGAAAAGCAAAAAGCAAACAAACCCTGCAAAATCCATCGGAAATTGGGGGTGGGACTCAAAAAGCAAACAAACCCTGCAAAACCCATCGGAAATTGGGGGGGGGGGACCAAAAAGGCAAACAAACCCTGCAAGACCCATCGGAAATGCGAAACCCCCCGCCCAAAAAACAAACCCTGCAAGACCGATCGGAAATGCGAAACCCCCCGCCCCAAAAAAGACTGCAAGACCCATCACAGCACAGAAACATAACCCCCCCAGCCCGAAACCACGCTGCAAAACCCACCCTGAACAGTTTTTAAAAAGCAGAAAGCAGCACCTTACCTTACCAGGCAGTCCGAAGCCACCTCTGATCACACACTCTCTAACTGCTGGGATGAAAGAGCTACAAAGAAGCAGCCTCTTTGCCACCAACAGTTAGCAATTTGAATTCCCCACCTTTTTCCCCTGCTTTTTTTATTGTAACTTGAAGCTCTGGTCGCAAGTCGAAGCAAAATTTTGTGGTCGGAGCTGGTCGTAACTTGAAATGGTCATACGTTGGGACATTCGTAAGTCGAGGCACCACTGTACTTGTTTGCAAACAGCAATGTCTTACAGGCATGCTTCTCAAAGAGCTGTGATTGACGGGGGTCCCTGTCAACTTCAGTGGCAATGTACTCAGTGGCAACTTTGGGCTTCCTGGCTTGTGATGTATGACGTAGTATTTTGTAATTGTACTGTATAGCAACATAAGGAAAGAAGCCGTTAAACTAGATAGGATGAAAATTAATAAACGCATATGCTGCTTGATTTCATTTTCCCTTCTTAAATTATTTAACTAGGCTTAAAACAATTATTTTGAGAATCATTTCACAGTTTCCACCATCTATATCAATACTGCACAGTGATGTTTTAAGATGTTGTGCCACTCTGCTTGTGGCAGAGGAACGTTTGCCTGGTACTTAATTTGATGTTCCTTCTGTGCCAGGCAAATGTCTATTTATCTGGGCTCTTCAGTATGTCGTTTAAGCTGGTTTTAATCTCATTCCTTTTACTGGCACTGCTAGTTTTTGACACTGCTCTGCTTTTACTCTTCTGTATTTTCGCTGATGTTTCGATTATTGTCAGCCATCCTAAGTGGTTTGTTAAACTGAAGGATGGCAGAATATTTTAAACAACAAATAAATATGTGCAGAATGGGAAGAAAATAACAACAGATTTTTGCCACCTTAAAAGACTGAAAGATTTATGGTGGCTGACCTTTTTAACTGTTAATCTTTATGGTGCTCTAGGACTCAAAAACAAGCAGGGCCTCTGGAATTCAGAATGGAAAAATTAGTATTTGGTCCCTTCTGTGGACATTCGAGTTAACATTATATGGATTTGCAAGCCCATTCTGTACAAATATGAGCACTAAACTACCTACAGTTTGTGAATATTTCTTCCCCTTATTTTTCCATCTTGGATTGTGTTTGCCTGTTTTAGGTTTTTTTTTTTTTAAATCAATGTTTTTAATTCGATTCCTTTTTGGACTGTAAACCTCCCAGAGTAGATTTATCTAGATGGGCGGTATAAAAGCCAAATAAATAAATAAATATGTTGTATCTTCTGTCACAGGCACCTGTCAGAAACCATATGTGGCACTTATTGATGGAATTACAATGGGAGGTGTAAGTAGCAATATTTTCTAAGATTATAAATTGGCTTCTTTCTTCTCCCTCCACTGTTATAGCTGTCAGTGTATCATAAGATGCATGCTAATAAATAAATCATCATTTAGAAACATTCCTAAAATTCCATTCCTTTGCACTGAGGGGAAGTGTTTCTTGGTCTGAAAAGAATATCCACAAAAACTTAATGACAGGAAGAAGTGTTTGGGTGTGAAAAGTGGGGAATGCTTTGGCAGGGAGGGATTTTAGGGTGTGAAGAAATGGAGGGGCAGAGGGTGAGTGGGTGTCAGGAAAGAGTGGGAATCGATAATGTGTTGTAAAACAGAAATCTGAGGGAATTATAAGGAAGAGCATTGGGGCAGGTACCTGATAGCAAGGAACATCTGGAAAAGACCAGAGACCCAGTAGGGGCAGTTGCCTGGTATAGACTCCAGGAAGCACCTTCAGCTATTGAGAGAGAGAGAGAGAGAGAGAGAGAGAGAGAGAGAGAGAAGGTAAAAATACCTCGTAGTGCAGCTTGTTCTGGTAATGCAAGATTATGATGAGAGTCTCAACTTAACCTAGTAAAGTTCTTGTTTCTGTGGAATTAGAACTGTAGTGTTTCTCATAGAGAGAGCACCCTGTTGCGAAAAGTCTGTTGTTTCCCTTCTGCTTCCTGGTTGTGCTCACCTCTGTACACACACCTGTATGTACACGCCTCAAAAACATGTGCAAAGCATTTTACATGCCCACAATGAGAAGAAGCTTACTACGTTGCCTTACTTGTCTGAAAGACTGGGAGATGCCTTCAGTTAGTGTCCTGCCCACATCTTCTTCTTTTGGTCCTCATGGAGCTGGTAAACACTTTAATGGTGATGTGCAAAGATTGCTTACTCTTGAGGGAGTAGGTCCTGTCCCAGTAGTTTGGGGGAAATGGCCATTGGTTGGATGGGGACAAACGGTCCCTTTCCCTTTTCAAGAGGTTGGCTAGTTCAACTTCCCTCTTTGTTAACTGGTAGCAGGGAAATCTTTCTGAATGTCAGATGGCAGCTGCTCACTTTTCCTTTCGGCTTCAAGGAGCCTGTCCCTCACATCTTTCTATAATGAGTTCCTGTGACTAGAAGCAGCATAAGGTTTAAAACGTTTAACAAGATATTTTCTGTCTCCTTGTTTGTCTATTGTGTACTCTGTTTAGTTAACTCCATTGTACTTCTCTAACCTATCTGCAAATTTAAGATTTGGGGACTAGCCAGTGGACATGGACATGGCTTGGATGCAATCCATTTCTCTCTTTCTACTTTCAGCTGCTTGGTCTGTGGTATTTAGAAGAAAAAGGAACTCCGCTGTCTCCACCCAGCAGAGATGGTGGGGTGGAGTGAAGTCATCTCGCTTTTCTCGTGACATTCTTGGTGCTGTGTTGTAGAGCAGTGGTCCCCAAACTCCAGATGTTCTTGGACTACAACTCCCAGAAATCCTGGCCAGCAGAGGTGGTCGTGAAAAGGCTTCTGGGAGTGGTAGTCCAAGAACATCTGGAGGCCCAAGGTTGGGGACCACTGTTGTAGAGGGCAAGATAGGAATTTGTCTGCGACTAATAATAATTGTGTGCCGTCAAGTGAATCCTGGCTTACGGTGACACTTTCCAGGGTTTTCTAGGTAGAGAATAGAGCAAAGTGGTTTACTATCCCTTTCTTCTAGGGGACCCTGGGATGGTGAACCTTGCCCATGGCCCCCCAGGCTGGCTCTATTCTCAGGAGGCACTGTGGGGCACTGAACTCCAAACCTCTTGCAGCCAGATGCCTAAACCGCAGAGCTATCCACCCAGCACCGTCTGAGATTAATGGCAGTGTTAATCAGTCACAGTCCTTTCATGTTTGCGCTTATAAGGCCTAAGCTGGAACTGTGGCTCAAGAAGGAGTGAAACAAGTTGTTAAATGTCTCGGGCTGATTGAAACCAACCATGCAGATCTGATGTGAAGGGAGGAAAGGAACGGAAGACAAACTCTAGACCCAGCGCTGCCCGATTGGCTTCAGCCAGCCGCTCTTTGCAGAGGTGTGGAAGACGGATGTGTCAGGATCCCCTTTCCCATGCTCCCCTCCTCTCTTCTGTTTTGGTGGCTGTTGATATGTCCTCGAGAGGCAGAACACAGTCCTTCCTGTGAAATAACATTTTCACAAGAAGCGATGCGGTCCCTAAGAACAAAAGGCAGTGATGGGCAATGCCTCTATTAAGACTGAGAAACTATGCTATAAGTAATGTAAAAGTGGCAGGAGCATTTCGCCTCTCCGGGGCCCCTAGGGCAAGCTTCAGCGAAGGAGAAGGACGGCAGAGAGAAAGAAAAGAGAGGCCTATTTACCAGTCTTGACGTGTGTTGGAGCTCTATCATAACTTGATTGAAAGGTTTGCACCTATAATTTCTTCCAAAAGCATTTACTAGCAATATCTGTAAAAATTTCTTGATCTCTGTGATCTCTCCTTCCTGGGCCCATGGCTTCTTCTCTTCATATCTAGCTGTTACAGGGTATACAATGTTCATATGGCTAACACAATATCGCATTGCTATTGTTGGGTGCTCTGAGGCATAGCATCACAGTTGATGGTTTCTCTGCCTCCCGCTGACTAAAAAGCTGGCTGGTGTCTGGAAATTGCTCATTGGTTTGTTCATATTTCACAGAATTCTGGATCAGCTTAAAGCAGAGGGATGGAATACTGGGTCTTTCTTTCCATTTCCCTCCTGTGTTGGCTCAAAGTTAAGGCTTGGCCTTTAACTGTTGTTGTTTGCTGTTGGTGGTAAATTAAACCAAACATCACATTAACAAGAGGCAGTGTTTTTATAACTGCTAATGCATGTTTAGAGAGCCTTGGATATGCACTGTGGAATATGAACGCAGTTGAATCTTGATTTATTTTCTCTGTTATTAAACCAACCTTGCAAATGTTTCCTTGTTTAAACCATCTGTCTTTGGATGACATATGCCGGAATGGAGCTGAGGCAGAAAGATGCAAACAACTGTCAAGATAAAATACTGTGAGGTAGGACAGGATAGAAAACAGACCACATCCACTTAAGTCAGACAGAGGGCCATCTTTTTGCACATGTAGAGTAAAGGGAGGTTGCCAGGAATTGTCTCAAATTGACCTCCTACAGCCTTTTACGTAGAAACCCAACAAATGCTTATGAAATAGTTGTTTATGAATTTTTGTTCGTTTGTTTTGTTGCATTTGGTTTACCAAAGAGTCATTCCTGACATTGGCTTATGTGACAGCAAGCAAAGAACAGACTGTTCAGGAAAGCACCTGCAGGAGTCTTTGGAGAACCTTTTCTTTTCAATATACTGGTGCTGCCTATTCAGAAAGGAATATGTAACTAAACATGTGTTTCTTATACTGCAGAGGATACCCAGTGTGGTGTAGTGATTAGAGTGACAGACCAGGACCCAGGAGACCTGGGTTCGAATCCCCACTCGGCCATGGAAACTCCCTGGGGATGTAGAACTGGTAAAACCACTCCTTGAAAACCACTGAGCCTGAGAACCTTCTTGGGGTCGCTCTAAGCTGGTTCCAACTTGGTGACACATAACAACAATGACAGTATTGCAAAGGACACTAATAGGTGTTAATCTATTGTTTTTTTCATCCATTAATTTCTAATGAGCAGAGGGAAGCTAGGCGTCCATAGCAGACACACAAGACATCATAAATACATTAACCATACAGATAATATTTTGAGCACTCTACAGTGAAAGCTCTTAATGATGATAGTTCAGAGAACATTGCAGGGCATTTACAGTAGTGAAAAAAAAAAAGAAAGTAAATCCTCTTTGAATCCTGTGGTTTTACATAATAAAATAAAAATCATCCGGTCCTTAGCAGGTCTAAAAATTAGTTAAGTACAACAATTCATGACATATTACACCGTGTCATGATTTAATTTGTAAAGCCAAAATGGAGAAGCCATGTGTGAAAAACGAAGTACAGTAGTACCTCAACTTACGAACATCTCCACTTGTGAACATTTTGAGTTACGAATGGTCCGTTCGCAAAATGTTGTTTGACTTATGAATGGAGCCTCGACTTGCGAACAAAAACCCCATTTCCTGCCCTTTTTTTCAATCTAAGTTCATCTTAGGTCAAAAGAAGAAGAAAAATCTTCCCCTAGTGCTAGAGTACAGTTTAACTGGCTTTGCATTAGTTCCTATGGGAACGAATGCCTCTACTTACGAACAGCGCCTTGACATATGAACGAAAAACAACCTGAACAGATTAAATGGTTTTCAGTGCATTCCTATGGGAAATCTTGCTTCGACTTACGAACTTCTTGACGTACGAACGGTGTTCCAGTACAAATTAAGTTCGTAAGTGGAGGTACCATTGTACTCTGTTACTGCTTTCCTAAGTATTAAGAGGCTAAGTAGCAGCCAAGTGCTGCTAACCAAATGCCCTTGAGTAATTAATTAATAATCAGCAAGTATGACCACCTGTATAAAAGCCAAAGTTTTAGCACTTTACTGGTCTGTAGCATTCAGATGTGTATTAACACAATGCTAAGGAGGTAACACATCAGCAGTGATCATTAAGAAGCAATTGTTGCTACCCATCTATCTGGGAAGGGTCATAAGACCATTTCCAAACAATTTAAGTCCATCATTCTACAGTGAGGAAGATTATTCACAAGTGGAAAACATTCCAGACAGTTGCCAGTCTTCCCAGGAGTAGACGTCCAAACAAATTCACCCCAAGGTGAGACAGTTCAGTGCTCACAGAAACTGGGGGGAAAAAACCCCAACAACAACCCTGATACGTCTCAGACTCTACTGCCCCCATTTAGCATGTAAAATGTTAAAGTTCTTGGTAGTGCAATTAGAAAAAGACTGAACAAGTATTATTTGCTTGCAAGAATTACCAAGTAAAAGCTGCTTCTCTCTTTAAAAGGTCTGCAAAGTTGCATCTGGACAAACCTCAAGAGTTCTGGAACAATGTCCTTTGGACAGACAAGACCAAAGTGTAAATGTTTGGCCATAAT